ATAAAAGGAATCCTTCCTGCCTGCCCACTAAGCATCTGCACCCTCTGGAGTCAAAGGGTGGCTCTTTACCTTGGACAGGTGAGATCTTCTGACTCTCAAAGGGATTTCACTTTCTCTCAGCTCTTTGCTATTTTCGCCTTCGGGTCCTGCGGCTCTTACAGCGGGGAGACGGGAGCCATGGTTCGCTGCAACAACGAAGCCAAGGATGTGAGCTCCATCATTGTTTTGTTCGGCTATCCCTTCAGGTGAGTAGGGATTGGTTCTGACCCAGTGCCCCCCTTTTACTAGGTTAGCAGGGCTTCCTTCCTCCTCTGTTCCTACCAACCTCTCATTTATTTGTACTCACAGGACACACAACCTAAAGACCATTTACTGTGTGCCGCTCTAGATCAAAATAGAACGAGACCTGGCTCATTCTGTCTTTTAGCCATTTCAGACACTCTGACCAGAGTGAAACATGGATATACCATTGTTATGATGGTCCAGTCCAAACTCAAGCAATGGCATCTCATCCCAACTCAAATGGAGAGAATCCAACTGTTGGAGCTCTCTCTGCTCCTCTGCAGATTCCTCTGTGCCTTGAAGAAGCTTGTTAGAGTTTAGATATTAAACAATAGATGTGAAATGCTCACCTGCTATCACCCAAATATAAGGAGATACATCTTGACCAGGAAGTAGAAGAGGATACTCACTCCCTGAGAATTTGGGAGCCTAAGGAGAGGGATGACTGTTCAGAGGGGGATGGAGGCATCTTTTCAGAATGTCTAAAACCATTTCATCCTCCAACTTAGATTAAGTATCTCTACACAACAAGCTGTATTTTCCACTTTATTTTTTTTTCAATGTGGCCTAATCAGGGAGTCCTAAATCCAGTCTGTGAATGGGTAATTCAAACCTTAACTTGGCCACTGCTTAATACAGGCCTGTGTGTTTCTAAGGGCAGAATGAATCTGATTTGTCTAGTGGTTTGGCTACCAGAAATAGTTGGACTGTATATATGTTATGACTTAAAGGTCCCTAGAGCTACTTAGAAATCCAGGGTGACCACCTCTGGCCAGGTGGATGGGTGGCTGCTGATGGGGGATATAAGGCTTGGATGGAATCTTGGACTAGGGCTGTGGCTCAGTGGTTAAAGCACTTGGCTAGCTTATGTGAGACCGTATGTTCAACCCCCAGTATTAACAGAAAAAAAGATGAGTAGAATCTTGAGGTAGCTTCTGGCTTGACCAAAAGATTTCCTCAGACGTTCCTACCTGACTCTTTTCCCAGGGTGAGAGCTAACACAGGGGCCCCGCTTGGGCAGGGCTAGAGAGGCTGGCCTTGGCTTAGCATGGCTCCCATTGCTGCCTGCAGGTTGCACCGGGTCCAGTATGAGATGCCTCTCTGTGACGAGGACTCCACCTCCAAAACCATGCACCTCATGGGAGACTTCTCTGCCCCCGCGGAGTTCTTTGTGACCCTTGGCATCTTTTCCTTCTTCTATACAATGGCTGCCCTAGTCCTCTACCTGCGCTTCCACAACCTCTACACAGAGAACAAACGCTTCCCGTTGGTGGTGAGTGAGCACAGCCCAGACAGACAAGGCCAAGAAATGGAAGAGCCATTTGTGAGAAGGCTGAAATCAGAGATGGAGGGGGGAGGTCAAAAGTGATGGCTTCTCTGAGTCCTTGATACCTGTGTGTGAAATGGAACCTCCACCCGACCAACCTCTCTTGGTTTGTTTGCAGTCAGAGGAGGCAGGGTCAAGAGCGAACCTAACTAGGTTCAAATCCTAACACTTGCTCATAGTAGCCGTGTGACATTCAATGAGTTACTCGGTCTCTCTACACATTAATTTCCTTGGCTAAAAAATAAAGATGGAGTGATGAATACTTGTGCTGAGTGTTTGGGGACGAGAAAATGAGTATTCATGTATAGCATCTAGCATGTAGTTACTCTCAATGAGAGCTAGCTACTCTTGGTATTGTTTCTTCTACTTCCTCTGTCTTTCAGACTTTCAAGATGGGGAGTGGGCTTTAGAGACCTCAATTGTCTTCTGAATCCGCTTTCTTCATTACTTATAGTTTGGACAGTGGTAACCAAAGGGCAGCTGAGAGGAACCAGTAGGCAGTTTAAATCACTCGAGTTGCAAGGAGGGAGGATTACCAGCAGATACCTTGGCAGCTCGTTGCCTGACCTTAATTTTTAAGGGCAGGGGTATGGCAGTCTGAGTGGCAGCATTCCTTTGGTGGCACTGAACAGGGTCCTCAGGTAGGATGGGAAGAGACAACTGTCTTGGGACCTTGGGATTCTGGTGTGACAAGAGGAAAGAAAAGTAGCTGATAATCATGAGGCCATTCTGAATATATCTTCTTCTTTCTGCTCCTCCTAGGATTTCTGTGTGACTGTCTCCTTCACCTTCTTCTGGCTGGTTGCTGCAGCTGCCTGGGGCAAGGGCTTGACTGATGTCAAAGGAGCCACACGGCCATCCAGCCTGACTGCAGCCATGTCCGTGTGTCATGGAGAGGATGCAGTATGCAGTGCCGGGGCCACACCCTCCATGGGGCTAGCTAACCTCTCTGTGGTGAGACCTGGGTCTGGGAAAGGCATAGCAGCCTAGCTGTCCCAGCTGGCTGGATCTGAGATGAATAGAGAAGGTGTCCCCAGAGCCCATATACTGTGCCTCTAGACTAGTAACCCCTGCCTCTGACATTGACCTGAGAAGATATTTTTGGATGAGAATCTGAGTCACTTCTTTATCAACTCTCCCTCCCACTTTCAGCTGCCCTGGAAGTTACCCTTTCTCGCCTGTTTGGCCACAGGTCACTTGAGAGCATGTGCAGAGGGCGCTCAGGGTTGTGAGTGGACCATTGTGAGAGAGAAACTGCCCCTTGTCACTTAGCCCTCCCTACCGGAAAGGGTTTAGGGGGCAGTGGTGGGTTCAGTTGGCAGGCAATCCAAGTTTTGGCCATGCTGGTTGTTTCAATGCCGAGATGTATCTATGTAAGCTGATAAATACCCATCCACAGCAAATGCCCTTCTCAAGTGCCGTTTTGTCATCTCAGCCACCCCATACCCACTCAGAAAATGCTCCAGACCTCCCCAAGCCCTCATTTGAAATGTTTAATGGCCAGTGCACCGAGAAGCCCTCTGAAACCATGCACATAGGTTTCTCTTCCAATTTTTAAATATAAAATTTTTTACATATCCAGCAAAATTGAAAAAAAATGTACAGGAGAGGCCTACATAGTCACCATCTAAATTGTAACATTTCAATATATCTGCTTTAAATGTATTTGCCCATCTTTCCTTACCTATTATTTTTGTTTCAATTTTTGAGACAAGATTTTGCTATTTAACCCAAGTTGTCCTTGAATGTATATAGCCTGAGCTGGTTTGTTGTTGTTGTTGCTATTGTTATTGTTTTTGGGTTTTTTTTTTTGAGACAGGGTTTCTCTGTGTAACTTTGGAGCCTGTCCTGGAACTGTATCCACAGACCAGGCTGGCCTGGAACCCACAGAGATCTGCTTGCCTCTGCCTCCTGAGTGCTGGGATTAAAGGCGTGTGCCACCACCACTCAGCCCAAACTGCCTTTGAATTGATGAATCTCTTGCCTCAGCCTTCTAAATACTGGGATTTCTGATTTGTACCACTAAACTTGGCTTTTCCTTTGTGTTTTGAGATACAATCTGTTGTGTGCCCCAGACTGGTCTCTAATTCACAGTCTTCCTTCTCTCATCCCCTAAATGCTAGGATTACACAGGTGTAAACTACCATCATCTTATTAGTAGTATTTTTATTTTGAGACAAAGTCTTACTATATAGTCCTGGCTGGCCTGGAACTCACTATATAGAACAGACTGGTCTCTAACTCATGAGGATCTGCCTGTCTCTGCCTTACAAGTACTATGAGTAAAGGTGTGCACCAACAAGGATAACTCAATCCATTTTTAAAAATGCTTTTCAAAGTGAATTGTAAACATCAGTTCCTTTCTCCCTAATTACTCTTTAGTTAGTTTTTGGGGGTTTGGTTTTGTTGTTGTTGCTGTTATTATTATTATTTTTGTGTGTGTGTGTGTGTGTGTGTGTGTGTGTGTGTGTGTGTGTGTGTGTTTTGAGACAGAGTCTTTCAGAGTAGCCACGGCTGTCCTGGAACTATCTTATGTAGACCAGGCTGACCTCCAAATCCAAATCACAGAGATCCACCTGCCTTTACCTCTTGAGTACTGGAGTTAAAGACACGTGCCACTACCCACTCTATGTTGTTAATTTTTTTCAAAACATTTAAAATAAATATTTGAGTAGAGCTAGTGTGGTGGAACACACATGTAATATCAACATCCTGTCAGGTAGAGGCAAGAGGGTTATAGGTTCTAGAACGGGTTGGGTACATAGAGAAATCAAACAACAGCAAAACAACAGATGTTTGAGCAAATCCTTCTCACAGAGTCTCTAGCCCTAGAGGAGTACCTTGGACAGCTCCAGCCTCGCCGAACCTCAAGCAGGCTGGCTCGTGTTCTTTGATTTACTTAGCATTCCTAAGGCCAGATTCAGCTAGTGACCAAGCTACACTGTCAATGAGTACTCTGAATAGAGTTTAGATACTTCCACTAGACAATCCCTTAATAGACAATGGCCTTGAACCCTGCCTCTATTCCTAGTTCTCTGTGCACTTCCTCTTCCCATTTCTCATGTGGCTCCTCCTTGACTATTCTCACAAACTCTCCTGATTTCTTTTTTAGCTCTTCGGCTTTATCAACTTCTTCCTGTGGGCTGGAAACTGTTGGTTTGTGTTCAAAGAGACACCGTGGCATGGACAGGGCCAGGACCAGGGCCAGGGCCCCAGCCAGGAGAGTGCAGCAGAACAGGGAGCAGTGGAGAAGCAGTAAACAGCTGGCTACTCCCGAACTGGACAGCACCTCTTCATCTCCTCCGGCTTCCACAGGACCCTCCTCTTCCAATTCCCTTCCCCCATCATTCTGGGCTTTGAGATTTGAAATGATGGATGGGTAGGCATCAGCTATTGGTAACCTGGGCAGCCCTTTACTGGCTTCCTGAACCCTCACCCTGCTGGAGCTACAAATGGCAGAACTTGGTACCTCCTGTCTACTGCCTGGACTCAGGCATCTTACTGGGCTTTCATTTGTGCCCTCAAAGAGTCTCTGCTTGCTGCAGATGAGGCCAGGAAACTAGAGTCCTGATACAGGTCTCTAAAAGTTGCCCTACAGTCTCAGTGCAGTGAGGGGAAGGGAAGTCAGTTGGCAGCCTTGCCCTGATTCCTGTGTGGAGGGCCCAGCAGTGGTTTGATGACATCTCTCAATGTCTATCATCTAGTCTCTGTGTCTTATCTCTAGCCCTGCCAGAGCCCAATGTGCTCCCTGATCTCTCCTCTGACCTCTGTTTGTCCATAGCTCCCACCGTGTGTGAAACAGGGAGACCCATTACCCTATCTAAGGGCCCTCTAAGGGTCCATGTGAGGCCTGGACTCAGTGGGAGCAGATAGAGTTGCCATTGCACTGCAACTTCAAGGAAGAAAGTCAGGAAAGTTGCTGGCAGAATACATTTTCTGTCCCCTCAGTTCTCCCTGTCCCTCACCTGGAACACTTTCAATAGCTCCCTAAATGCTACTTACTCGTGAAACTCCTAACTTTCTTCTCCTCTGTGGACTTGGTTTTGTCTCACACTTAGGAAACAAGATGAGAAGCCTAGGGATATTTCCACTTCATTCTCCCATCCCCACTCCACCCATCAGCCCATCTCCCTTCCCTAGCCTTTTGGAGATGAGACATTTAAGATCTTTTTTGATGTCCGTCCAGGCCTTCCTTTTATTTCTGTGGACATTAGGAGGGCCTAAAGGACCATCATGAGGCAGGTGCCCAGGAGTCCCAGGACATAGATAGATGGCCCCCCTGTCCCTTATTGTCTGCTTATTTTCTCCAGGCAGGTGCCCAGGAGTCCCAGGACATAGATAGATGGCCCCCCTGTCCCCTATTGTCTGCTTATTTTCTCCAACCAGCACCTTTTCTAGTCTTTCATACCTTTCCTTCCTCGTCTTTACAAAGAGGTGTTCTCTCTCTTTGCCTCTTCCCTTGCTTCCATATGGCAGCCAGACTCCACCCCTCCCCCAGTCCTGGGCAGCCCAATGCTATTGGTGCTTCTTTACTTCGGGACCCAGTTCCATATTTGTCTTTAGTGTGTTTCCTCTTCCTGACACCTCCTTCCATCACTCCTTGGGCCCCAAGATCTGAGGATACCAACTGGGTGATACCATCTGCCTCCTACCCAGATCAAAACCCCTTGGCCTACTCTGGCACTAGGGCTGCTCATGGAAAGATGAAGAAGGAAGAATCCAGCCATTTCCCAATGTAGTGCCAACTGGCCCATTTAGTATCCCGAAGATGAATGTGTCCTGAGCTAACCTGTCCTCAAGACAGGGCCAACCACCTCCAACCCCCTCACCTTCCTCAATGCCACCCACATCAAGACGTGTATTACTTGAGTCCCCAGGGCTTAGAACCTTTAACTTTGGGCCATCCATTTCTTCTTTGGGTTATAATTCCCCACTTGACAGGGGGAGTATGATTTTTACACACTTCTAGATGCTCCCAAGCCCTTCAGTAAAAGAATTTGGAATTTTTGTTTTTTGGTTTAGATTCTGGGGAAATAATTTAAGGATGGAAAAAATTGAAGAGGGCGAGAATGTTCCTAAATCTGAAACTGTCTATCCTAAGTTGTCCCCGTGGCTAAGGACAAGGGGCACAGTTTTGTCTACAGCTGTAGAGATACAAAGAACAAAGGGGTAACCTTCATTTTTCTTCAAGCAAGCCCCTGTGGGGATCTGTGAGCAGCTTCTACTCGAACTCTGTTTGGATTCTGCGTCTATATTTATAATTTATTTGAAATGTGATGGATAAGATGTTCTCATTTGGGGCCTAAGTTAGCAACTGGCCCATCGACTGTTTTAGAAAGGGAACTGTCCATGCCCATTGGGCACTCTCAGCCCAGAGCTCTCTCTAGGGCTGAGAAGGCTCTTCCTCACCAACAGTCTGGCTGGTTCTTAGCCAGAAGAGCCTTGATTAAGGCTATGGCCTCTCTCTCTCCATGGCCACCCTAGGAGGAAAGACCAGTTCACCTCATTACCTCCAGGGGGCTGAGCAGGGATAAGTGCCAAGGACAGGGCTGTCCTCATAGGACTGATGTCTTCTCCAACCAGGGCTGGCACCACCACTTTGCCTAGTCAGGCCTGAAGTAGAAGAAGGTGTTTGGTTTCTCTAGCTGTTGCAGGAGGCCAACGAGCAGGGGACTTGCCCTTTCCCCTACTCAACTCTGACCATGTGGAGATGCCCATCCAGGACCTTTCTTAGACATGAGTTCCCTTCAACATCCTGACCATGGGTCTCCTAATTCTGGGACTGCAGATCAAGGGTGGGGGAGAATATTGCATGTTGTTTTCTGGTGCTTGTTATTACAATTTGAATAAACAGTGCTGCGAACATTTGCCACAAAGAAGCCAAGACCGGAGGACGTCTGGGAATTTTTTTTCCTCTCCTTTCCCCTTGTTCTATGCTCTTGGACAAATATCAGCATTTCTACCAAGACATCACTCAACTCCTGTCTACTCTGCACCCTAGGCAATAGAGTCTGCTGGCTGAGCAATTGTTCTTGGCAAGCCCCAGGCTGGTGACATCGACTCTTTTGGTGGCACCCAATTAGTCCAAAGAAACTGAGACTCATTAGCAAATTTGGATCAAACTCAAAAGGCAAAAGATAGTGGATTCCACAGTGCTGTCTCCATTTGCTCTCCTACCATCTGTGACCCAAAGGAAGAGTCGAGGGCCATATGCTTCCTTCTCTACTATAAGGTTCACACCGCACAAACTTGCACCTCCATCTCCTTCAGATAGACAGTCAAGTGTTACACTTACATTCCCTAGAGAAATGTACTTGGACACAGTTTTACATTTAATCTCATCAGGTTCCTGGGCCTCTTAGGGATCACCTATGGGTGAGTCTTTGGCTTACAACTTCTGCTCAGATATTATTCTTTATATAAACTGTTCGTATATGGAAAGCAGAAAGTCTGCGGTCTTAAAGCCACAGAGCTTGACTTATTTGCTTCCAAACTTGGTTTCTTTAGGGCAAAGGGATGCAATATGGCGTGAGATATGAGGTACTGAAAGAAAAAGAGTATTAATATTTCATTTCCAACGAGAATGGGGAAGTAGGTGGAGGCAGACTTTTGTCCCTGGTGTGAGAAAAAAAAATGTTATCAGCTGAAGGTGGGTGATTAAGGTACTTCCTGGGCCTTAGCAGGAAGAAAAAAAAAAAAAAGATAGATATGATGAGAAACCTCCCTATGCCAAGGCTTCAGTAGTAGCTTTCCAGCGGTGAAAAGAAGCCGAAATGATGGATGGAGTCAGGGTCCAGCCAGGATTTGGGAAGAGGCAGTGCAGGTTATCGATCGTAGTTCCAGGAGGAGAGAGATGGACCAACAGGGACACTGCAAACACCAGAAGCCTCGGGGGCCACCCTAGTTCCGGGGCTGGTTCTGGCTCCGAGATAGCCTTCTGTCATACTGACAGGTGATCTTGGCAAGCTCAGCCAGGTCCTCCCAAACCTAGACTCCAACCCTTGGTTCTGCATCGAGGCAGCGTGGGTCTTCCACAGAGGAACAGCACAGGAGGTGGGGCCCTCCCCCACTCCAACCCCTGTGTCCTTCAGCACGTCCTGCAGACTCCCTCCCCTTGCCCTTCTGATTCACTGCGCCCACCTCCCTGCACCTACTCCATTCGATCTACAGGGGAGCAGAGTCGTTTCGTGGCCGCCTGCCCAGGAAGGGGCGCCAGCCAGCTGGCGGATGCACGGCTTTAGGGGGTATCTCGGGCAGAGAGAGATTTGGGGCTCGGGTGTGTGTAGTAAGCTTGGGAGAGTGGACTGGTGGCGCAAAGGATGTGTGCAGAGGGGTTGGAAGAGGGTATCCCGAGGTTTTGATCTCTCTTTGCCCGCGTGCGATTGTGCGTTTTGGAAGGGATCCCTCAGCTAGCTCCGTAGGCATCACCGCCCCTCCGCAACTACACTTCCCAGAAAGCTGTGCGGGGAGTGAGGAGGTGGTGGCAGGAGACCTGAACTGCTCTTTCTCA